TCATGTGTATTTGTAAGGCAACTGCCGTGATTCACTTGAAAAATATGTCACGCTTCAAAATTTTGTCAGAGTTACGTGTATTATCACTGAACGTAATCAATTGCTCATTGAAATACAGCTGGACGATGGGAATGCTCGCTGCTTGGGGTACCGTCCTGATTTGAAAAAGCCCTATCAGTATCTCACTTACAAGGAAGTGTTTGAAAAAGCACGTGACTTCGGATCAGCCCTCATCAACAAGCTTCATCTCAAACCTGGTTAATAAATTTAAACGCTCAACAAAAAGACGCACTCTTTGGATTCAAACAACGTTCAATGACTCTTATATAAACAACTTAAAATGCATTCTTTATTCCGCATTGCTGATGATTATAAGACCGCTCTAAACTAATAACATACAAATTCATCGGTAATATACGATAGTTCAATTTTTCCATAGCAGTGAGTTATATATTTAAAAGGTCTCGTGATATGAAGCTTTCATAACGCGCTCATTGGAGACCCAAACTTGGAGTTTATGGTTAGGAGATAACGTGTTTATAGAGTAGTTGTTTACTAGAATTATCATTCTATGCCAACGATCACCATCAGTTCACAATTTTCTGGTATCAACAAGAAGAGAACATTAGGTCATGACACTACGAATTCGATCGTAAAGGCGAGACTCACAAACTGACGACTGCATTATCATTGATGATATCAGTGGAAAATGATATTGCTGCACTAGATAATATATACTACCCGCTAGTGCTCGATAATATATACTTTCGGCGGGGTCCCGTCTTCCGACAATTTTGCTCCCCGACTTCTTTGTTTGGGTCCCCTCCCCCAGGATGAAAAAATTGTTGCCCGACGAACATTACCATCCGCTATTGTATGATTCTTTGTCGGCAAAATTTATTGTAATAATAACGGAAGTCATCGTTCAAGGCGACGAAACATATCTCGGAATTTATGCCAGAAACTGTCCCGAATGGTTTATCAGTGCATTCGGCTGTACGCTGCAGTCAGTCTCGATCGTTCCCCTGTACGATACATTCGGTCCCGATGCAATCACGTACATTCTGCAGCAGGTTCAAATGACGTTCGTTTCTATTGTTGTGTGCATTGTAAACGTCTTCGGAACAATTTTTACACACTTTGCAAATTTAATCAATCAAAGAACTTCGAGAATAAAACATCAGAGATGACGGACGGCGATAAGCGAGAACAACACAACTTGTGATCTATGTTCATTATAGTGCACTTATTTTATGATCAGTATTTAGAATCATATCTAATCAGTTTAAAAATTCATTTTTTGGAATGAACAGTTTTTGTGGTCATGAAAGTGATTTGAGCAACTTCCGATGTTCAGAAAGATTGCGTCACATTCGAAACCAAAAAAAGCTCACTGAATCTTAGCATAAAATATTCTCAACAAGGCAATAGAGCTAGCAATTTGCTCATATGCATTTCGAGAACAAACTGTTGCATTCAGGACAATCGTTGTTGATACGTTTGCAAAAGCCGAGAAACTCTTAGCAAAAAGTGAACAGTTCCCATCGCTGAAAACTATAATCGTCATTGAGGAGAAATTGCCTGAAAAACTGACAGAGAATTATCGAACCGTTCAAGTAAGTTTGTTTTATCGGCTAAATGATTTATTTTTGGAATTTTCGTCGTTCACTCATCCAGTTGCACTTATTACAGACAAGGAATACCGACCCGTACCTCAGCCCCACTCCTTCATCGAAACCCAAATGATAATATTTTTTAAACGATTACGCATAAGAAAAATTATTAATGAATACATTTCATCAAAACTCATTCTTGTTCAAAAGTGCGGAAGATAGGGTTGGGAACAGCAATATGATTATAGAACATAATCGCTTTGTCCATAGCCACAACTGCTTTAACACCATACTCAATACAGGCAGAAATTGTTTCACGTGCGATTTTCTATGTGACCGGGTGTTTGGATGCTATCATTCGTCTTATAACATCAAACTTTACAGATTTACACCTTCAACGAGATTCTGAAAGAAGGACACAACGATATTGCAGAAATGAATCTCCCAAAACCACAAAACACATACATTATTTGGTAATACACATCATAGTTTGATACATCTCAACATGTCTTTCCTTATGACAGCAATAAATTTCTAGTACTTTTTCTGATGGCTGAAAATGAACCAAGATCGAATCTCAAGTTGAATTAGTCTCAATGATTCGAACATGCCAAAGTAATGTGAAAGAAGTGAGAGTAATTAATTAGACCAGGAATTCAAGTACTTTCTTCATTCCAATCAAATGAACGTTGCTTTCAGCTATACAAGTGGTACAACATCATTTCCAAAAGGTGTTATCATATCACACAGAAACATTGTCGCCAATTTATCAGCGTTCTATCTGTTGTTGAAAACATTTTCGCCGGATTTTTTCATGCATAACCCAGTGAGTGAAGTTTTCGTTTCGTTTCATCGGTCACTTCTTAAAGGTAATGATGCCTTATCTTCACTGCTTCCAAACTTTTCAAAAAAAGCACTACAAAAAGTGGACTTTTGCAGTTTACAACGATCTCTTATTTGCCTCTGTCACATATGTTCGAACAAATGTGTCACTGGTTTACGTTCCTGGTTGGTGGCTCGACATCGTATTACAGTGGCAACATACAGTTACTAACCGAAGATCTAGCCGATATTCAACCAAATTTGTTACCAGTTGTTCCGAGACTGCTCAATCGATTCTATGATCTCATTCAGGTGTGTTCACACAGCAATCATGAACGTTATTCACTAGCTTGTAAGTGACTGTTTTCGATAATGCATGAGCGCAACTCAAAGAAAACTTAAGATAATGCGGTCGGTAGTGATGTTTCTTCAGATCGCCGCTGCTTGAAGCCATTTTCAGTATTTTGTATGCACTTCGAGAGGACCAAGGCACTCAAATTTTCCCTGATCATTTTCTAAACTTTCATTTATTTGATTCCTCTGGTACATAATTCAGTGTTTCACTCACAGTTTTTCGAGCGTTGAAATGCAACTGAATTTGATTGGGTTTCGAAATTCATAAGTCGTGGAAGCTAATTTGAAGGTGAAATTGAAAAAAGGAAATCCAGTGGTACGAGCGCTATTCAATTACGCTTATCAAAAGAAGTTGGCAATGTTGAAAGAAGGAATAATTTGCAACGATACAATATGGGATAAACTGATTTTTCAACGGTTACAGGTGAGAGGATTGTCTTAACTCTGTTTCTTATGAACTGACCGATCGTTTTTCTGGCTCTCGTTCCAACCTCTAGAGGCAGACATATTCCGTGATGGTAACATACTATTTTCAGGCGAAACTCGGAGGTAAAGTACAATTCATGGCTATCGGTTCAGCACCAATCAGCGCTGAAGTTCTTGAAACATGTCGTGTAGTGTTTGGTGCAGTGATTATCGAAGGTAAAACTGATTTTAGTGAAGATCAATTCTTAATGGATCATGTTTCATCTAGTGAGAACGTCAAATTATCTCCATGTGATGTTAAGGTATGAATAGTTGCCAGAGAAATTATTTCAGCGTGTTGTTGAGAGAACGGGTGAAAAGGCTTGTCTTAAATGATCAGCACATCTCGAAGGCGTAAAATGAGTAGTACTGATGACAAACGCTTTTTTGGATGTAACCGTAATGCATTTTGCAACATTGATATAGAGCAACGAAATATTTGTTAAATATCCAACGTTTCGGTTTATTGAACCGCTATCATGCAGTAAAATAGTGACTGAGTGAATGAGTGGAAAAATACATGGAATCTTTCATATAAATGCAATTCTAAAGAGAAATGAATGAAATGGAACAAAAATCGCAAATAAATATTATTCTATTCACACAAAAGGTGAATGATGAACAGAAAAGTTGACTGAGGACGATGGAAACAATTATTTTATGAATGAAAAAAGTTGGAGTTCGGGAAATGAATTACAAAAGTGCTAAACTATCATCAAATGCACGCATTTTCATTAGTTCAACGGTTTAATAAGCCGAAACACTGCAAATCTATTAAATATTTCGCTAATATCAGTGATATAACAGCAAACGGTGTATCAAATTCAACGCATTACGGTCATATTCAAGAAATCACAAATCATCAATGAAAAAACTGCTCACTCAGTTTACATTTAATCGAAAACACGTGAATTAATCCATCAAAAAATGTGATACTGTGTTCTTGACTCGTTGAATTTGTTAAAACGCGGAAGATTGGCATTCAATTGAGCAAGAGATAAGAAACGGATTGACATGAATTGCACATTATAAATTATCTTCCTGCTAACTAGGAAAAAGTATGAATTAAAATTATGTTTAAGTTAGTGTGATCGTTGGAGTGCAACATCATTGTAAGCGTAGTTGCTCGATCAAAAAGCATTCCCATAAATAATTTCGATGAGAGTGCATGAAAACATTGAATCGTATGCTATCGAACAGTGCACATAGCATTGCATTAAGAAGCACTCATTTATGTGGAGTGTTGAAGTTTACTTTCGATTGGTATGCTGAGATTGTTTGCATCATAACAGTACTGTAAGAACATGCAACTATGAACATACAGGCGCCACACCAGAAGGGCGCCAAGAGCAACATCAAAAAAAAAACCAAAACTGGATCATTAGGTGAACGTTTAACTTGTTTCAATTTCACAATCAAAAAAGCGTCGCTAGAATATTACTGGATTACATAGTGGCGTTGGATCAAACTCGCAGAAATGCATGAACATCACGTATTTTGAAGGATATGGTCAAACAGAATGTACAGCACTCGCGACATCAACATGGCCTTGCGATACTGTTGGAGGTCACTGCGGTGGACCATCAACTTGCACGCTACTGAAGTTGGCCGATGTACCGGAACTGAATTATTTCGCTCGGGAACGCAAAGGAGAAATTTTGCTCAAAGGACCATCATGCACCGCTGGATATTTCAAGGTTTTCACTTTCACCGTTTTATTGCAGCAAAATTATTTACATAGCAGAATAATAACCAGCATTGAATGTGAAATTTCTTTTCGCTTTGCATAGATAACAAAACCTAGATATGAGAATCGCATTCAATTCCAAGGTTGAGTCCAAAGTCGCCGAAATTTGGATCTTCAATTACTAATGATCGATTTTGGCAGCTCAATTTTTGCGAGTGCGATTGATGAGCTGTTCCAATACTTGATGCACACATCCCGCTAATCCTTGCATTGCATCAGTAGAATTGCGGCCATTTTCATACACTTTTCGCTTCGTTCAAATTCCACTACATTTCAACAAAATTCACAGCAACTCTCACATTCACAAATAAAACCTCATATTGTTGATCGCCACTCACACTGGATCAGTGAATTCAATTTACGGCCTCTAATATCCAACATCAAAGTACTGCTTTCTAAAAACTACAACATTGATATGAAGAGCTGTTATGACGATGCACATTTTGAAGGATCCTCAAAAAACAGCTGAATTGTACGATGAGGATGGTTTTTTGCACACAGGTGATATTGGTGAAATGTTGCCGGATGGAACGATAAGAATTATTGACCGTAAGAAGCACATCTTCAAACTGGCGCAGGTGAAACCATTCGCTTATTATATTCGGCGTTTTAATTTTATTGTTGTGTCTTTTGACTGGAATATTGCTTCTTGCCATGCATCGTTTAGGTCTTAATGGTCTTGAAAAAATAAGCCAGCCATACGAGACGATATAAAAAATGATGAGAGAGTCAAAACTACTCCATTTTCTATATGGTTTTCTCCTTTACACTCAGCTGTTTTACAATCAACCTTAAAACATTTCATTTCAAAACGTCCCAGTAGTTCCGACAAAATAATTCGAAGTTGTGAAACATTTCAACAAAACAAAAAAAGCGGCAACAAGAGCATAGGATTATCACGAGGGAAAATTTAGTGGTTCGATCAAATGAGCAATTAGCAAACAAATGTCAGTGTTGATGTGGAAAGAAAAATCAGTTCATCATCAATTACATCAACATCCATCATCAGTACACCATTATCGATATGATGACAGACAAATCAACGTTATATCAGTTCCGATGTGAGAACGCAGTATGCGATTAGCAGTAAAATAGTTGATTAGAAAATCTGTTCAATAGATCTAGATCAGATGTCCTCACGTTCGGGTGCTCCATTATCCCCCACAATGGTCTGGCTGGCCTCATTACATCCTCTTCCCCTCACTCTTTCTCTCTCCTGCTACAATAATACTAACGTCATAACTAATTTCTCGATCCACTCCACAACCCCTCTGACATCCCCAAATTACCATAGCAGTACAAGAGAGTCTAATCAGCTTCCAGTAAGTCTAAAGCTAATGTAAGTATAAGTCTGAGCGTAAGCCTAAGAATTATCCTACGCCTAACTCATAAGTGATTAGAGCGGATGAGCATAAAATTTACTCGCATCTATAAAAGCTGCTGCCAATGATGGGGAATCCATAAAAAATGGCGCCGCTCATTCACTGCTCACAATGCGAGAAGATGTTTTTGAGCTGCTCATGCTCATTTTGCAAATTGTTGGCTGATTGCTCATGACAAAAAGGGTACTTGAAATTGGTTGTTTACTGCTCATACTCACGTGATTACCCATCCCTGATTGTTAGATCAGTAAGAGATTGCTCGATTGGACAGCATTTAGCACGAGCAGCACAGGTCTTGCTTGACTATTTTTCAAGAGACTGTTGTGCATACAACTCGTTTTCACGGTTCTATGAAGTTTTCAAGAGGATGAAAATAATCTTAAGCAGTATTCAGGGAGAGTACGTCGCACCAGAAAAGATCGAAAGTGTCTACATACGCGCACCGTGTGTTCAACAAATTTTTGTAGATGGAAATTCTTATGAAAGGTACTTTGATGAAGCAACAATCCGTTTTCATGCTGTGCGACGAAATTGATATAATGCTTCTGATTTCTACCGATTTGAGGGTGTTCTGAGTGCGCATAATCTGAGATATAAGATCTACGTTCATTATTGATCGCATAAAAATACTTTTAAGGGAGAGATGGCGGTAGATTAATGAATTAAATAACTTCAACAATTTCTTCGAGTTTTTTGCGAATCACATACTGAAAATTGAATGTTGTAAACTCGCTTGAGTGTATATCTGACGAAAATTTCACATAACCATTCGAAAAAGCGTCTTCATTTCGATTCCGAACATTGAAATCTGACGTACTTCATCAAATTTTGATGCTTTGCGGAACAATTGCCGAGTATCATCTACAATTGAACAGCAAATATTGAGATTCGCAGATATCTGATAGCGATCGTCGTTCCTGACGAAGATGCGATAAAGCAGTGGTTAAGGGAGAATATCACCAGCAACGGCAAGACTTATGAGCAATTATTGAAAACAAAAGAGGTAATTGTTACATCCTTTTATTTTTCATCTCCACCAAGTGAACACTTTCTTCACCGTGCTACTGGATTTGAGAAACTTTCATTAATTTTCTGGCTTCAGCAGTTTGCTCCTTTTGTTAATTCGATTATGATACTAATGTTGCATTGCGTATTTCAAGCGTTGAAAACTGTAGCACCGAAATTAACCACTAAATTCACGTGAGCTTGAATAAGTTTCCCTGCACAAGTGAGAAATCAGTGAGTCTCGATGGAATCCGCGACGTGACTTCGTGATTCATCGGTATATTGGTTATTTCAGGTGCAATCGTACGTTCTGGAACAGTTAACAAAGATTGGTAAAGAGAACAATTTGAATTCAATGGAACAGGTACGTTCTGATCATTTCGTACTTTTTTGTGGAATAAAACATAACTTTGGAATGGGAAGTTTTGTGTTGTTGATCAAGTTTATGCGAAACTTTTCAGATATATCGCCTTATCTGAATACGATTGTTTGTCCTCATTGCTTTCCTAATATATTTACTGATAATCGTTTACGCTAAGCCTTCGATGATAATAA